AACCTTCCATCCCCCCTCTTCCGAACCTCCCTTCCCCTTCAATCGAACCCCCCTGCCTGCCCTCTCCCCCCCGTCTCCCCGTAGTTTAGAATGCCCATCTCGGTAATGGTGCATAGGGACAAAGAGGGATCGGACAAAACATCAGGTCTTGTTGAAAACGGGAGAGAATTGTAGAGGGGAGGAGGGAGGTTTGGGAGAGGGGCAAAGTGGGATCTGACGAGACATCAGGCGTGGTATTCTAATAAAGTCTGTACCCCTCCTCCTTCGTGGTGTCCCGTGCAGGTAGAATGGTGAAGTCTGGTAGCGATGCCATCAAAAGGCACTTCACAGAGTTAGGTGTCACCGGTAACCCAGACAAAGGGAATAAGAAATGGAAGTGCCTTTACTGCGACCGCGAAGTGACAGGAACTGCGTCGAGGCTTAGAAAACATTTTGCAGAGGGAAGATGCCACATTTCAAATGCGCGGGGGATATTCACGCAGGCAGAGAGGTAGAGGAGGTTGCAGGGGCGAGCAGAGGCCATTGCGTTGGTGAGGGGGGTAGGAGAGGTGCCAGGAGCTGACACAGGCTCGCAGTCGGGCATCGGAGAAGCGGAGGACCCTCCTGCGAATGAGATACCCATACCTACACCCACATCCACAGAACCGTCGACGTCCAGAACTCGATAGACTGTTTTGCAGGATGGGGTTCATATCGTCACCAAAAACGAGGAAACTCAAAGGACAATCAACGACTGGATGACGTACCATGGAATATCATTCAACATGGTACGAAGTCCATACTTCTTGGCCATGATCGATGCTGTGCGTAATGCACACGCATCATTCAAAGTCGCAAGTTTTGAGGAGACACACACTACACGCGTGTCGATACAGCGTGGGAGGGTTGGTGTCGAGGTGGAAAGGCTGCAGGCGCGGTAATGGCCAACCACCGGATGCAGGGTGCAAATGGATGGGTGGAGTGATCGACGGCAGAGGCCACACGTAAATATCATGGTGTCCTACCTTGCCAGTGTCGTTTTTTGGAAGTCGGAGTGCTTAGTCAGAAGGGAGAAGGGGGCGGCGGCATATCATGCAATCTTATCAAAGGCGATCAAAGAGATTGGGGAGAAGTCTGTTGTTGGCGTCATAATGGACAATGCGCCGGTATGTGGAACTGCAGGGAGGATGGTGGAGGCGGAGTTCAAAGGTGTTTTCAGTGTCCCCTGCACGGCTCACAGCATTGATCTCATCTTGCACGACATCGGGAAGATCGCATGGGTCGACGCTGTTATGAAGAAGGTTGTGGCGGTTACAAAATTCTTTACGAACCATCAGAAGGTGCGGGATTTGTTCCAATGACACTCGAAGGAAAAGGAGCTTGCGAAATCGGGCGCCACAAGGTTCGCTACGAACTTCATCATGTTAACTGCAGTGGAGAGGTTGAAGAAGGCATTGAAGGACACAATTCGCGACAACGCATTCGTCAAGACAATAGTGCCCCACGCAGAGCGCCCGCTATTGCGTGAGGCGCAACAGTTGGTGTTTGATGAAGAAGGCTTTTGGAAGCCCATCGAAAAAGTCCAAGCTGCAGCTTTGGACTTTGTCTTGTTGCTGCGCTTCGTTGACGGTCCAGGTCCCACGATCAGCAAGGTATATGCCAGGATGGATCGTGATGTAGAGAAGTTGTGAGAGAACGAGTGTCTTTCGCAGGTGCAGAGGGAGGAGATTGAAGAAGCAGTCATGCGCAGATGGAACACCATGACCAGCCCTTTGCATTGCGCATCATTGTTTCTGGACCCGGAGTACAGGGGAACTAACCCGCAGCACGACAATGAAATTATGGCGGGGTTCTGGACATGGGTGTACAGCTGGTGCGAAGAGAAGGATTGGCCGAAGGTGGAAGTGGATTTCAACAACGGGATTGACAAGAAGGGAGCCTTCGGCACACTCAAAGCGTTCGATGCAGCAAGGGATGAGCAGCCGGGAAGATGGTGGAGGCGCTGGTGTTATGAGTTGCGTCTGCTGCAGCCGCAGGCTATCCGCTTGCTCGGGCAAGCGAGTTCCACATCAGGCTGCGAACGGAACTGGAGTCTCTTTGAAGCCATCCATTCGCGGCCTCGAAATTGTCTTGGTGCAGAGACACTGAAAACTCTGGTATTTAACCGCTGGAATCTGCATCTGCTGAAAAACATTCATCAAATGCCACGGGAGAAAGACGGCCGCATCGAATGGATGGAAACCCCGTCAGAGAAGGACGTGACAGCGGTCGCAAGGGAGCGGTCAGACGAATGGAGGGGCAAGGTGGGGACGGGGGAGGACATGAACGCGGTCGACAACAAATGGGAAGATGATGATGCCCCTTTAGTGCCTAGGAGAGAGGAATGCGGCAGTGATGAGGAAGTGCCCGAAGAGGAAGGCGACCAGAGCAGCGAAGTTCCTCGCGGAGAAAATGTCTACACAATTGCCAACTCCAACGATCATGAGTCACGAACATGCAGTGAGTCAGTGACTCATCGCAAGGATGCAGGGCGTCCTCCTTTGCCTGTGAACCCAGCTCCCAAACAACGGCGCGGCAGGCCCAACAATGCTGAAAAGGCTGCAAGGGAGAAAGTTGCACAGGCCGCCCGTGAATCTCAAGGCAATGGAGGAGAAGGGGGCGGGGTGGGTGCAGAGGATGATGATGCCTCCTCGAAATACAGCAGTGATTAGAGTGCGCCTTTGGCGGTGAAATGCCAGAGGGGCAAAGAAACACACACGGAGAGAGAGAGATAGAGAGAGAGAGAGAGAGAGAGAGAGAGAGAGAGAGAGAGAGAGAGAGAGAGAGAGAGAGAGAGAGAGAACTGGGTATTCCACTATGAACTGCGAACTGCTAAAGTCTTAAACTTTAGCAAAAAATAATTTAACACCTTGAATAAATTTTATTACAAAGTCGTGTCGTGTCTTTTTAACTTTCTTTTTTCTTGTTTTTTTAGTTTTTTTTTTGTCTGTTTCTTTACGTATTTCAGACTATTTCTTTATTTGACTTTTTCTTGCCTTGCTGCAGTTCGTGCTTTGCAGTGACTGTCGCAGCACAGTCATGCTCGGATGCCATTTAATGGTCATTCATGTTCGTTAGGGATGCCACCAGGTATATCTTCCGAGGACTCGACCCCGCATGACGAAAAGTTGAAAACACATCGCACAGTTGATACCTGTCGAGGTCTATATATAGCAATATATACAATATAATATGCATGTAATACTACTATATAGTATATATATTATAATATTATTATTATATGTATATTTTCAATCTGGACCAGTCCGGACATGACCATCCAGACCATCCGGACCAATCCGGACCAATCTGGACATGGTCCGGATGGTCCGGACCGGTCCGGGGATCCGGACGTCCGGATTATTACCGGACCGGTCGGTGGTCCGGGTCCGGATTTGTTCGGATTCCGGGTCCGCGGTAGCCATGATATATATATATATATATTATCTCGTCATATATATGATGAGTCAGTGAAACTCAAACGAAACAGTTTGTCACAGCCCCTGCTTTGGTGTCCTCTTCTCTCTCTCTGCCAACGGTTTACCAGGCTGTGTGTATATATATATATATATATATATATATATATATATATATATATATATATATCGTCATGTATATGACGACTCCGTGAAACTCCGACGAAACAGTTTGTCACAGCCCCTGGTTTGTTGTCCTCTTCTCTCTTTGTGACAACGTTTTACCAGGCAGTTCTGTTTGTGATGATATATATGTGTATGATCTCTGATTCAGGGCCAAGAATAAAGTACTCGCATGTCGTTGGCTACCAGAGTGCCCCGAGGCCACTTGCCCGGCCGGGCAAAAAATTTATAATAAAAATTATGATATGGAATTTAATGTTTTTTTTTTTTTTTTTGTTATATACTGAAGAAGTCGGATGTGCCTCGTTTAGTTTATTTTTCTACATAACATAAATTTTTGTGTTGAAGAATTTCGATGTGACCTTCCCTACTGCTCGCACGGGTATGAAGGTCGCCGTGTTAGGAAGACAGGTTGGCCGACACGAAGAAGGACTACAGCGCCCGAGACAAGACGAACGACAATACAAAGTTTATGGAGAAGAAGAAGAAGATGAAGAAGAAGAAGAAGAAGAAGTAGAAGAAGAAGAGATAAGGACAAAAAACAAGACCTAACAGGACAAAAAAAAAATAACAAACAAAAAGGAAAGGATTAGAACCAAAAAAAAAAAAAAAGACGATGCGAACAACACAAAATACCTGCGACGATCACAAGAACCGCAGAAAAAAAAAAAAGAAAAAAAAAAAAAAACGTACGAATTACG